CTCTGGATAATAATGATGTGTCAATGTGAGTTCATTGATTGTAACAAATGTACCACTTTGGCAAGGGACACTGATGATGGGGGAGGCTATGCATGTGTGGGGGGCAGGGAGTATATGGGAAAACTGTGTACATTCCATTCAATTTTTCTGTGAGCCTAAAACTGCTCTAAATAATGAAGTCTATTTAAATATGTATATATCATACTATGTTATTAAATACATTTAACTTCACGATTTTTGTGGGGGGGTTGTTTCTTTTATTATCAGGTACTGCCCTTCTTTCTTACTACTTATTTTAGCCCCCGATTCTATTTTATATAATGTAATTTTGGTACACTGGCTTATTTTTCATTACGTTTATGTTAGTTACAATTGGGTTCAGCTGTAAAGAACTGAGAACCAAAATAACAATAACCTAAGTGAGAGAGGAGAGTTTTCTCTCCTACACGGAGGTCCTAATGTGCGGACAGAGCTGACTCCGTCTTCTTGAAGCAAATCCACCATCTTGACTCCTGAAGCCCAGACCTGTCCCTGTCCCCTGGGGACCTGGAAATACACGACGACTCCGTGCTCCGCCTCTAGAGTGAGCCACCTTTGACATTATCTATCCTAACCACCTCTGGCGCCAGAGCATCTCGCCTCCTGGCGATCCTCCCCGCCTTAGATTAAATACACATTCCTTTCTCAGCACGTAGACTCACTGATTTTAGCTATAAAACAGAGAGTCTGGGGAGTGGAAGGCATAAAGCGTATCCACGTCGTCTTGCCACTGCCCAAGACGCACCTCCTTATGTAAGTTCCTTTAATAAGCTCTATGGATTACCAGACTGGAGTGGACAGCCTTTTTTCTTCCGTTTTTCCGCTGCCCTTCGTTTAGAGAGGTAGATTTTCAGTCTCAGGGCTTTTCCCTGGGTCTGCGTGTACGAACAATTGGCGAGTCAGCCTGCAGACGGAAGAAACGGGCTTTGGGAAAGAGATGTCCTCGGTGGAAATCCCGAGTTGGCTGTCTGCTTCCATGTGAGAAGGAGTGGCGCGTATGCCAGATATATGTGGACCACTGGTGAGTACCAGCGTACCAGGAAAATGCTGGCTGATCTTGTGCACTTGTTTGAGGAACTACACTGAGGAAGGCAGGAATATTTAAGGCTATAGCTGTTGGCTGGTCCTCTTATGCGCTGTCCAGCAGGCCACTGATGCCCAGCAGGAGCCATGTGAGAAGGAGTGGCGCGTATGCCAGATATACGTGGACCACTGGTGAGTACCAGCGTACCGGGAAAATGCTGGCTGATCTCGTGCACTTGTTTGAGGAACTACACTAAGGAAGGCAGGAATATTTAAGGCTATAGCTGTTGGCTGGTCCTCTTATGCGCTGTCCAGCAGGCCACTGATGCCCAGCAAGAGACAGAAGCCAGGGTTAGAAAGTTAGAGGGAAAAAGGAAACTAGAAAAGATATTAGAATGTCTGCAACTCTGTTAGCATTGGGACTGGCCAATAAAGGTTGGTAGGGAGAAAAGTCTTTTAAACAGATCCTACTTCTTTTATGAAAGCCATGAGATCTCTGTTTGTTTGCATTCGTTTATATGTTCATGTGGTTCTACATATGTGTTGTGTCTGTGTGGTATTTTCTACCTCTGGATGGTATTGCTAATTTGTTTAATTGGCTTAAAAAAATAAACAGGCACTTTTAGGGTACTCTAAAATTCTCAAAAATATAGAAACTAACCCAAATGCTTTTCAGGATCATGTGATTTGAAAAAATATTTGCTATTAAAGCTAGTTTAAGTTTATTGGTTTAAGTAAAACAAACATGTCTTTAGTCTCATGAAGTTTTGTGGGTAACCTACTAAGATTAAAATAGATTTAATTAAATAAATGGATTTAAATATTAAAGGTCAGCTGATACAAAATTAGAGTTTGGTTCTCTTTCTCTGTTATGTTTCCTTGGACTATGGGTCTGTTCCTGATAAGATATTATACTGTTTTATGTTGTCTTAATCAGGTCTTTGATTACTCAAGAAAACTGAATCCTCTCAATTGTGAAAGCTTCTGTATTTGAAATGCACTAGCTGATTTTCATACAAAGGCAGCAGCAACAAAATCTATAAAGACTTCCTATGGATGAAATCCATTCTGCTTCTGCAGAATGGATTACTACCTTGTAATGATGTCCTTGTAACATGGCAACAGTCTGCTCCCAAATCAGGGAAATTAAAATGGGCAAGCAATGGTTCTAAATTAAATAAATAGTTGGGGCTATGGGAAACCCAAGACAGCCACTTGGCTCTTCAGGTCTCACCAGTAGACCCCTTTTTACAGTTTTTTTTTGTTTTGTTTTGTTTTTGCCTTCTTTCATATACCATAGTGTTTTTAAGCTGGACTTCACTCCACTGCCACTTAGTATGAGTTATCAGTATATTCTTGTTGTATGTGTATTTTCCGTTTGAGTTGAAGCCTTCCTCTTGCTGCAAGGCAGATGCCTTCACGGTGACAAAGAAACTCTTAAAAAATATGTCTTCCACTTGGGATATACCTTCCAAGTGCTCCCTCCAGGCTATTTACATAGCCTTAGGCCATGAAATGATTTCTAGAGATTTGTCTCTGTGTCTACTCTCTACAATGTCAAATAGTTTCATTATATTGATGTGATGCTAACCTCATCATTAAGATTTGCAATCATTACAGCGATACCTGGACATCTTGTGTGCCCATCTCCAAGCCAGAGGATGGGCCATCAACCCACAAAAGATACAAGGCCTGAGCCCAGCTGTAAAGTTCCTAGGGGTCACCTGGTCGGGTAAGAAGCCTCTCATACTGGGTACTGTTATTGACAAGATACAACACTATCCTGCACCTAATATAGTGAAATAGAAAGATTTTTAGGCCTTTTAGGATTTATTCCCCATCTAGTTCAGTGCTTGTACCCATTATGTTACCTGGTAAAGAAAGGGACTCATTGATGTTGGGAATGTGATCAGGAAGCTGGATTTGAGAGAGCAAAGATCCTAATAACCCAGGCATGGTCCTTGGGTTCCCCCCTTGCTGGGGTACTCATGTCTTTGGGTGTAACTGTAAACCCCAAGGGAATTAGCTGGGCCCTATGGCAAGCTCAGCAAGGGAAGGCCATCCTCCTTGGGTTATGGTCCCAATTATGGAAGGGCACTGAGACCCCTCATTGAACAATGGGTCTTG